CTGGGAGTTGAAGTCCACTCATCTTAAAGTGGCCAAGTTTGGACAACACTGCTCTAGGTGACGTAGAGCAAAGCAAGAACATGAGGAAATCATACAAATGCTAAAATCAAACAAGAATTATTATACAGGTTAGGATGAACACCCACCATTCCATCGGGTTAAAGACATGGTGGCGTAAACAGATCTTAATGGGATCCAAAGCAGGCATTCTGAAAATGACTGGAGGGGGAGGATTTTGTTAAGGCCTGAAGCTCATAGTGGAGAGAGCAAGAAAGGTGCATGGAGACTGCAATTTTCTTTTCTGCCCACAAAATTTGGCATTGCAGATAACAAGAGACGATCAGGAAAGGCACTGGAGTTCAAAAAGTTTAAGACACCAAGTTCTGCACACAACCCTGAGAATCTGTTTTATAAGCATTGTTGTAGAATGTTTTGAAAGGAAAATGTACAGTATGAATGCAAAAGGCCCTGCTTTATAATCTCAGATTAAGGATCATATGACCATTCTTGCTAAATGCTTTGTCCCCAGATAACTGGTATGTTGCGTTTACACACAAGCAGCACGTGACTGATTGTTAAAGGTAACTTGTTGTGGTGATTTTATCTAGGGCTCTTGGCATGTGTTTTGATTTTACAGTCACTGTTCCTGCCTCTGTTTCATAACCAGTGTTACAACTCTCTTGTTTTGATTGTACAGTATTTCTTCAGGTACAGTCCTATGCTTGACTTCCTGGGCACAATTTCCACTGAATTATTTATTACTTACTCAGAATTCGGTTCTCTGAAGTTCCATGTAGGTTAGTATTGAATATTTAGCTGTATCTTAGTATTGAATATTTAGCAGTTAAAATGAATGGCTAAACATTTGGGCAGATGGAGTACCTGTGGCCATAGTTTTTCTCTTCTGGCTTTTCACTCTTTATTTTGGCTTTACTAAATTCCAATTCTGTGCATACTTACTTACATCAAGTCCTGCTGGAATCAGGGAACTGGACCCAAGGCTAGGTGAATGGATTTCCATTTGTGCAATGGGACATCCCTGTATTTTGCTCGCTGTTGCCTTCCTACAAGTCTTTCCAGTCTACTTTGGAAGTCCCTTTTGGGAAAGGAAAGTGGTATCCCCAGTTTTCACAAAGAGCTAGTGACTTGGGGGAGCTTCCGTAAATTCAGAAGTTTAAGAAACTCTTTGTAAATTTGGGATACCCCTTATTTTGGGCTCTTGATAATAAGACTAGATTGATCAGTTTTTAAATTTCTAAGGATGGAGTAGGGAATAGGAGAGATTAGAGAAGAATGGCCTACATGTGCATAATGAAGATTATAGGAAGTAAAGTTGTTTATTTTAAAGGGTAATAATTAAACTTAGCACAATATAATCCTTTTGGATATTTTGAAATGCTTCAAAAAAAATTTTTTTTTCTTCCTAGTGTTTTCCCATAGGTGCAGGGTTTGCTTTTTTGGAACAACTGAATGTTGATCCGTTGGTTGCAACAGGAATTGACTGACTGGCTGGTCACCTGAGCCTCAGGATCAACATTCAGTCGTTCTGAAACAGTGGATCCTGTACCTGCAGGAAAATGCTAGGAAGAAAAAAAAATTGAAATGCTTCACATATGTTACCTCGATATTCTTTATAACAACTGGAAATTTGGCCCATATTGTTACCTCCTCTTGCACAGGACATTCCAAAATCTTCTAGGCTTTACTTACAATTCTCCAGGATCCTCTCTGGCTCTGGCTGAAAGGTCCTAGACTTCTGATATGCCAAACACCACCAGATCTACTTCTTATTCACTAGCTTCAATCCTGAATTCATTCTGCACAAGCATTTTTTCCTTCCTTCCTTCCTTCCTTCCTTCCTTCCTTCCTTCCTTCCTTCCTTCCTTCCTTCCTTCCTTTTTGAATAAAAGTTGACAGCTGTAGACGTTTCAGAAGTACTGGCTTCTCTGACAACACAATCGCTTGGAAGGTTATTTCCAAGTTTGAAGAAGGCTTCTAGTAAGATATTTATTCTCTCTCCATTGGTGACCCAGTACTTAATCCAGGTACTTGCCCACAATGTCCAATTTCCCACAGTTTCTTGCAGCACCTGGCATAACAGCGCTACATTAGCTCTTTTACGATTGTGAGAAATTTTCCATGAAGGGTGGCTTCATAAATTGGGCCTTGGAAGCAGTACAATACTGGACACTGGCAACTCCCCAAGAATACTAGGTGTTGACACCACCCCTGTTCAGTTTGTAGATGAAGAGATATTTAAACCAGGAGCTTTCTGAGTCATAGCAGGTATTCTGAAGCATTTTAGAAGGTTACTCAATACCTTGAAATGTTTTTTTGGATTATTTGTGTTTATCCTATATTCAATGCCTTATAAGACATTTAATTGATGCAAAAGATTTGCAGCACATTTTCTAGCTTCAGTTGTAAGTTACAATAACTCTTTGTAGCCACTCATCATCTGTTTTCTTAGCTTCTAGATGCCTATAATATTTCTGGTTGCCACAATTGAAGTAAAACATGTCCATTGTCATTTAAACTATCACAGTGATTTAGAGAATGTTTTTCCACTGACTATGTCCATTTGCTTGATGATGATGATTTATATTCCACCTTTCTGTCCTTATGGCATTCAGTGAATCTTAATTCTGAGCAGATTGCAATGTTAATCACAGCATCAAGAAAAGTAAAAGAAAAAACAAAACAAAACGGACTGTGGTCTTTTTGAAATAGGAATAATAAAGCAGCAGAGCACCGGAAAGTAATAACAAAGGAGATATTTTATGTATTCCATGATTTATTATTTTAAAAAATACCAGTTTCTCAAAGTCTGCTCAATGTCATTTATAAAAATATCAGAATTAGCATCAAAGTTCAATCAAATGTAAAATTCATATATTAGCTTTCTTTGCCTGCCCCTCTCCAGATGTGTGGGATTATAACTGCTATCATACCAGACAACAGGCTGGGTTAGTGTGCGTTGCAGTCCAAGAAATGCAGAGGGCACCAGTTTAGGAAGGCTGTTATGCACAATGCTATCAATAATTATGATTGTGAATCATAGTCATTTTTAAGAAGATGCAAAACCAGAGATCTGGAAGATTTTGGGGATAAGAAGTGAATACAGCTGGAAATATCTGGGTAGGAACTGAAAGCTAGTGATTTAAGAATACGAGAGGAAGATCTAGAAAAGATATGCAGTACCATAGCATAAAAAAAAAGCGCCTCACAGAGAATCAAGAATCATCTAGACACACCTAAGACAGAAGGATAATAATGAGTTGAGTATTGTTTGTTTTTTTAATAAATAAAACATTTATATCCAACACATTTCATTTGCTTTGCTATTTAACTGTCATGATTTCCATTAAAGAATCCTAGAAATAGAGGTTGGTACAGGTAGTAAAACATTGCCAAAAACACTTTTCCACCTCTCTTCCGCAATCCCTGAGCAGAAGGATCTCTGACCATTCCTTCTCATTGTTGATATTCCTATTTGGGGATCCTCAGCTGAATTGCAAAGCCTGTAGTAGAATAATACCAAAAGAAGTTGCATTCCAGGAATCCCTTTGTAGGGTGTGTAGAAACTTTGTTTACATGCCTGATCTTCTCAAGATGATCTTTTATGATGCTTCATTATCATGCTTTTATCTCACTCTCTAATGAATTAAAAAATCCCTATGTATGGGAGAGTGAGAACAAGAATGCGTGCATACAGGCGAAACCTGAATGCCATCCTTTAGATCAGATAATGTTGAAAGAAGGGCGTTTTCATCCAAGCATCACTTTGTGGTGGCTTTCGGCCTAACTATTGTTCAAAGAATAATGTGTAGCTCCACCTTTTTCCTTACCTTTCTCAGCAAGGGCATTCGCTTGTTCAAAATAGTTTCTTACAAAGAAGGACATGTAAGTCTGGCATCCGTTTCTCTCTCTCTCTCTCTCTCTTTGTTATAATGCCTTTATAAACAGCACTTTGGGGAGAAGCATTCATGTATACATACGGTATGGCTGAGCTTGTGGAAATGTTACTTGTTAAGTTGAATTTCCATCTGAGAACCCTGTCCACCTATTTTTATTTTGTTTTATTTATTCTATTTCAAAATTCTGTCCTGCATATAATGGCAATCTGTGGGTTTTAGCAACTTAGTTTTTTTTCAAAAAGCCTTAAACAATAAACATACCAGACAAAATAGGGTAACATTAACAAGGCAATACATTTAATGTATCAAAGCTATTCAATCATCCAGGTAACTGGGTTTTTTTAAAAAAACAATGGCTTATTGAATAAAATATAATTGGTTTGATTTGCATAAGGTGCTAGGCTATTAACCAAACAAATCACACTTTGCTAGTGTGAATATAAACCCAATTTATATGTCTTCTAAATAGTCAGACTTTTGTTGATATCCTAAGCACATTTTGCTAGGAATAAGTCATGCGAGATATATTACATGTTTGCAGATTTGAGTAAATTGCATAGTTGCACTGCTTGTTTAGCTTTTTTATTTTATTTTATTTTATTTTATTTTATTTTATTTTACTATTTTAATTTTCTACAGAATCCTAGTAGCGGTAGTAGTGGAGGTTTGCCAGTGAAGAATTTCCAGCAGGAGAATGGGTTGCAATTTTCAACCATTTTTAGCTTTGAAATATCATTACAGTATAAGAGAAGAAAGAGCTGCTGAAGGAGTCCTACTAAAATGAATCATATATGGTAGTGAATTCTGGGATGCAGGCTGACACCATATGAATGCACATGGTGGAAATTATGGGAAGACATACCAACACTATATACAATTTGCAAGTTATCTCCATAGCGGGGTTTCCATATAGGGTATATTAGAGTAATCAAGTTTAAATATGACCACAGCTAATGGTTTGCATTATAATACCCATTTTTTTTTAGGAAGAAGCTCAGGTGTTGTACAAGGCATGACAGGAAGAAGGCAACATGTTAGTTTTTGATTTGACAAACTTAGATTATGCATGAACACAAGATGCCTGATACAGATATGAATTGGTGATGTCCTTTTCAAGAACATTTTAAGGCCAGGTTCTTTTGGTTTGGTTTTAATCTTATGATTGCTTGCATTGTATTATATTCAAGAATAGACATAGTTATCGAACACTAACATCCCATAGTACATAAACCACAATAAGAGATAGTGTACTTGAAGGCTGTAGTTATGCTGAGCACAATTACGAAATGTTCGTTTCTTTATTTACAGATCCTCTGAAGAGGCACCTGAGGTTTTGCCAGGAACTGAGTGCTATTTGTGGAGCCTGGCTCCTTTTTATGCTGTTTTCAAAATGTTTCAAGCCCTTTTCAGTCTAACTTTATTTTCTAGCTCTGCTCAATATACCATGTCCCCCTAGTGCAGCTTCTAAGCAACAAACACGTTTTCCTTGAAAGAGAAGGAGGAGGAACATTGAATCATGATAGTGAATTTATCTGTAAGTTTGGGAAGGAGCCCTTTTCTATATGACCAACAGAAATAATCAGGTATGGACAAGCCTTGCATTTTTTTTTTTTTTTGCATTTCTTTGTGTGTGATATACATAGCGGCTGGATAGCATAGTGGTTAGAGCACCGCCTTTGATGCAGGAGACCGGGGTTCAAATTCCAGCTGGTACGTACCTTATCAGTAAGGGTCCTT